GTATTTGTTATTATTGCTTATTTAAGGGCACTGCATGTTATAATACTCAAGCAGCACTAATCAGCATTCATTAATTATGGCATGACTCTCCAATTTGTCTTCCAAAATGTTCCAAGAAAATCTAAACTTCTTACTTTCTTGATCATGAGGTAGAGAGAAAACAAGAGTAGTTATCATTTGTTTGGGGATTCACAGCACAGAAATATGGAGACAGAAATAAAAACCTCTTTTTGGTTCTTGGATCTAAATATTCTATACTTTCTTGCCTGGACCAGTGTACTAGGATGAATAAGTCTCCCCAAAATTAGTGTCCTTCCAAGAACTTCATAATTTAACCTTATTCGGAAGTAGGGTTGTTGAAGATGTAATTAGTTAAGATGAGGTCATACTGGAATAGGGTGGGTCCCAAATGCAATATGACTGGTGTCCTTATAAGAAGAGGAGAGAAGACACAGAGACAGAGGCAGACAAGTGGAAATGGCCATGCGATGACAAAGGGAAGAGACTGGAGTGATGCATCTACAAGCCAGGACACATCAGAAGCTAAGAGAAAGCCCTGGACCAGATTCTCCCCTAGAGCCTTTAGAGAGTATGTGGTGCTACCAACACTTTAATGTTGGACTTCTAGCCTCCAGAACCCATAGAGTAATTTTAAGCCACCTAATTTGTGGTAATTTGTATGGCAGCTGTGGGAAACTAATACACTCAATCTCTCTTCTGGACCACAATAGCAGTAGAGCACCAGTGCAAGAGGCCCTGTACCTAGCTGCAGTCTCTCATTCTGTGTGGGCCGTGTTCCCAAAACAGCTAAGAGGAGCAGAATGTGAATGAGAGGGCACCGGGAGGCTTGAAAGCCAAGTTGAGATGATTTAATTTCTTCTATGAATTTGTCCCTATCAAACCATCTTCAATAGCTCAAGTGCTTAGTTCCAACATTTATGTTTTCTAAGTTAAGCCTTTGTGAAATACTGTTATAATTTGTTTTGCAGAAAGGTTTTTGGGGAGCTCTCACCATAACAACACCTATGAGTGGTGAGGAAAGCAGAATTGGGCAGAGGAGGAGGTTGAACCTCAGTGCAATTGCAACAGAGGTCCCCACCGATCCTACAGGGAGTTCTGGAGCTGGAATGGCACCCCCTTTGGAGTTTTCCCAACTAAGGCTAGGAGGCCAGGCCATTGTAACCCCACATAGACCAGCCATTGGATGCAGGCTCACACAGAGGAGCCATGGCTTTGGTCAAGAGAGTTTCTGCCAGCTACAAGTAATTTCTGGTGATGGACACAGGTGTGAGCCACTGGGGAAATGAGCACCTCTTCAAGGGGATCTAGGAGGTACATCCCAGCATCTCTCACATGCACAGTGGATGTCTTCCTTTCTAATCATCACCTGTTATTAGAATGCGGCCATGTGAAATTCCACACCTGGACTGGAATCACTTTACTCGGGGAAAGAATCCATTAGATGCTCTCAAATCATGTATATAGTGACCGGCCTAAGAGGTCTCAGAGTTGCATTCTTACTCATTTCCCTCTCTCACCCATGTATTTTCCATTTCCACCAATGACAGCAACTCTTAAAAACCTCCATTTTAGAATGGCGTCTAGTCATATTTGGACCATGGTGATTTCTTCTCCTTTTTCTAATTATCCATGGACAGAGGAAAATCATCTGACCCTACCCGGAAATCACCATTCATTTGCTCACTTATCCATTCAGTCATTGGTCAGTCAACACAGATACACGTTAACAATTATTCTATACTAAAGAAGGCACTGAGTATAGAAAAATGAATGAGGAGGTTGTCAAAGGCCTTATACTTCAAGACGAGGAGTTGATTTTCTCTAGACATAATGAGGGTTATGGGCAGTACTTGACTTGAATAGGTTTGGGTTACTGAAAGATCCCTCTGTTGGTTGTAAAGAGGATGGATTGCTTGAGGGTCCACAATACAAGGCAAGCAGTTGCAGGTAGGGAATATTAACACCCAGTTGACTCACTCTACAAACCTCAGCTGAGTCACCCATCTCCTGTCCTTCCTCTAAGACCCTTTTTGCTGTCCCATGAGTCAGCAGCACTGTCAAGGAGCATGTTAACAGCCTGCTTGGGTGGGAGCTTTTACATTATCCTCCTAAGCCACAAGCAGCCCACGGGACCCAGTCACATGCCTTCGCATGTGCAAACACACCATGCATGCGACTCCAGGTCGCAAACACTCAACTCTGTGTGAAGCACACAGCTGTCCACATAGAGTCTGAAAACTGACTCTAAAATATGAGCCCCCAAAGGACACATCATTCCATTTTGGCTTTTCCCTTCAACAGCCTCCACAGCTTTGGGCCGGTCCCTAACACGGAAAGTAAATCTCTCAGCGGATGGGACTTCCACATTAAATACAAATTATGGATCAAAGCATATAACCTAGCAGAAGAGACTATATCCCCCAAACAACAAAAGCTGGAGAAGTTTTTTTTGTTTTTTTTAATTAGCCAACTATAGACTGGAAAACAGAAGGGAAAATATCATATTAATAATAATTATTTGAAGGTGATATAGCTTATATTCTTTAATGCAGTTCCAACATAAATGTCACTGTAAGAAATATTTCATTTCAGTACTAACAGATCAGGTACTTAGTGTGCTGGCAGAAATGATTGGAACTACGTTAAAGCCGCATTAACCAGAGAAACTGCAAAAATGTTTATATTCTTATGAAGGCAGGAAGGAATGCCCCTCGTGGGTATATTTAAGTATTTTCCATCTTTTGTGTAAATGGTAATGCTAAACAAAAAATGGAAAGATGGCCTTAGAATAATAACCTCAGGACCCAACTGGGACTCAGCTTCTCAATGTACAAAAATCATTTGCAGTATGTTCAGGATGGAAATTTCTATACTGCTTTATAGCTTGTAGTCTTCATTATATACCTCAAACAAAAACCACCAAAACACCCAACTCTGGGCTGGTTTCATTTCCCCAGGGTGCCCCTCCACCCCCCGCAATATAAAATTACTCACCATCCTCTTGGTCACTGTCTGCAATTCTGCTCAGTTACTCAACAATGTTTGTAACGACAGAAAAACAAAGGGAAGGGGAAAACCTATCCAGTTCAGAGAGGTGTTTCATATAGAGAATAGGATTTTTAAAGCAAAGGCAGATCTGGCACTGTTAGGGCTTTTCTCTAGTCAGTTCCTTCTCCATTCTTCCGTATAGAGACCCCATGCAAAGGCCATGTGGAAAATTTCCCAGGGCAAACGCTGAGCCCACATCTGAAAGCTGTCCCACTGGACAAGCCTCTTTCACTGTCATTCCCAACAGCCAGTATGTATGTTGCATGGAAGACGAAGAGTTGGTGAGGGCCTGAACCTATGAGTCATTTAGTTTTCAAACGACAGCTTCAAGGGCCTTTGAGTGTCTGGTTGATTTACTGTGAATGGCATTGACACTTATGTGACTAGAAGCTGTTAGCCTGAATTGGTGCTTGGAGAAACAAAGTCAATGAAAGTCACAAATCCAATAAATCTGTGAGGGATGCGTGGAGTTGTCTTCAAGAAGCACACAGCTAGAGAGGCCCAAGTCTATAAGGTCTTAGAGTCACAATATTCCAGGCTTATATTTTTTCCAGTCCTATGGGTTTTAAGCGTCAAGAGAATGAACAGATTCCTGATGATATAACCTCCAATTATATTTGTATATATATTTTCTTTTGGCCTTTACAAAAATTTTGTCTAGTAGGAAGGAGATGAATCTTTATTAATATCTGCATTTGATATATGAAATGTATAGGTTCAATAGAGGTAAGCACTTTGCAGCACGGCTGGTAAGTGGAAGAGTGAGGTCTTTGGATACCCAATCCCACGTCTCTCCAACAAGCTCACTCTTCTTATTCCGCACTGGATTAATGTGGATAAATATGGATTAATTCAGTCTAACAGTTTATTAATTCAGTAGTAAAAACAATTCTTTCAAGCCACTGTGTAGACAAAACTAACTGGCTATTTAACAGAATTAATAGGTCAAAATGGGTGGTTCAGTAACCCTGTGTTGAAAAATCTCTTTGACCAGGTAGGTAAGAAGTTAGATAATATTCATCACCTGTCACTCCCTGGACTGCCTTTGATAGTTAACAGATTTCCACAAGCACCAGATTATGGAGATGCCAAGCACTTCCTAGCAGTTCCAGGAAAGTATCAAAGCCAACACAATGAGCTTTAAGGCTGATGAGGTCCAGGTGTTCCTGAGGTTGAATAGAACTCACCAAGCAGTAGTCTGTCAGCTTGCCTAATGAATTTAAGAGTCTATTACCCTGGCTCTGTCACAATGTCCCTTATTTATGCTCCTCTAGTGAGGGAGTGGGACAAGCAGCTAGAACAGCCCACTGTAAGAGCTAATATAGCTGTAGAAAGAATACGACTTATATGAGCCATTTCCCTCGACGTCAGAACTTGAGTCCTAGCCCCACTCATCTTGGGGAGACCCACGTCATGCACACGCTTCTGTTTGCTCTGGTGATAGCAGTAGAACAGAGAGCCGCTAATTTAGATAAGCACAGAAGACAGAGAAATACAATCCACGTACGTCTTGACAATATCTACATGCTGACCTATGTCTTTTTTATGATGCACAGGGGACTGGTCCCAGTTGTTGCAAAAGGAAAGAAAATGCTCTCATGCATAAAACAGGGCCAGACAGAGGCTCCATAAAAGCCGGGGTGTGCCTGTCTGAGGGAGGCTCCCCTGCCACTTGCTGGCAAGGGCAGATGACTGAGAAACCAAATCAGCAGGCATGCACAAACTGCTTCGAGGATCAACGCAGATTGTGCTGCCAGGGAAGACAATCATTGAACTAGCTCTTCAGCAAGATCAGGGAGCTGGGCCAGACTCTACCTGGAGACTTCTTCCTCTTTCAGGCTAGAGAGCAGGAACAAGAGATGTGTGATAGCTCTGCATTACAGTGTACTGCTGCCAGACAGAAAGCATGGATATTTCGCAGCCTCACATACCTGATAGGGGCCCTGGTTGCAGCCACAGTAGCTGCTCTCCATGGTGTAGCTTCTGGACACCCCCATCTCTCTCCACACCACTACCCGTGCTGTGGAGGCTCGGGATTTCTCCACGAGGAAGCTGCAGCTGCTTAAGGTGAATGCTGGTGCTAGTTTATCAAGGATTTTGGGAAGAGTCTACAATTTAAAAAAAATCAAATTATGATGAGTTGCCGGTGATTGGGGCTATGCATCATAAAAAACTTCTCAGTATGTACTAAGCATCTCAATACATTAAACACTTAATATGTGCAACTATAAATCTTCTATCTATCCTCAGTAATGGACACCAATTTTTTTAATACTTACAAAGATGAGGAAACTGAGGCTTAGAAAAGTTAGAAAGAAATAGTTCAAGCCCAACTACAAAGTGACTGGAATAGGATCCAAATGACAATATGGCCAACTCCAAAGAGTATGATCTTTCAACCCCATCTTCCTGCATCACGGTGGACCAAGGTTGCAACATACATTCAGCCTCATACATTGCTGAGTTGAGTCTCATGGAAAGCCACAGGCTTCATAGAGAATTGAAATTTAGAGAGTAGCTCCATCCAGCCTCACTGTTTTCTAGCTGAACTTTCCTTATCTCAGACATACGGGCCATTGATGATTCTTAAGCAGGAGCACATATAACGTTCACTTGTTTCCTGAGAGACTGGAACTGCCAAAATGAACATTTCAGTCTCATTCTCTGATCCATATATCTGAAGCTGGACCAATTATAAAACTTCTAAAAATTCATACTCTCTGGATTCACATGTACCACCTTTTCCTAGGGTAGAAAAGCTTTATGTGAGATCACTTAATTTCCATTTAGAAAGCATCAGTAGACCCTTGCCACTCTCCGACTGACAGAGAGGGGACATCTAGTCACGGGACCCTTCCATCCCCCAAAGATGATGTCTCAGAGTTGAAAGTATACCAAGTCTTTGGGACAGCTGAAATACTACACTTAGCTCAGAACTTTTGTGACATGAACAAGAAGGGTTCTCTCACTTCAGTGTTGACAGAATCTCCAAAAACTAGAACATAATATAAAACTATATACATTAGAGAAGAAACAGTATAGCATCGGGTCTTTGGACAAATTATAGGGACAAGATGGAGAAGCAGACCAAATTGATGAGAACATAAATTAAGGAATTATTCTTAAGGAAATGCAGTTTTGTTCATTTCTAGAACATAGAGCAAATCTTTTAATATTGCATCTCTGGTTCTTATTGTCATGTTTAACATAACCATTAACTATATTAATGTAAGGATTACTATAATTATATGATATAAATATATATTAATGTAATTATTAACATAACCTACTATGATCTCTAAGTTCTTACACAGCCTCCAGACCTAAAGCATCATAATTTTAAAGGAAATGAAATGCTAATGTTATCCTCAGAGTTCCTGCAATTGCCTCCTAATTGATTTTATCTATCCACTCTTGTCGCTCTCTCCCTGCGATCCCTCTCCCCATTTTCCTCCTTCAGAGTACTTATCACAATTACAGTTAAATTATTGTGTATGTAATTTGTTGTTTATTTTCTATCTCCTCTGCAGCCTAGAAGTTTGTGTCTTGTTCACAGGAAAATCTCTGCACAAGAATCTATGCTGCTTGTAGAGGGTACTTCATAACTATTCACTGAAATAAATGGAATCTGCTAGTCCAGGCTTTTAGAGGACTGCTTAAACAGACATAAATAGAATATATATATATATAAGTATAGATATATTTTTTAGTTGCTATATATATATATATATAAAATATGATCAAGAATACATGAATGTAATTATAATTTATCAATGTTTTACCTTGTTGCGAAAACTTAATCTGACATCATTTAAATGATCTTTGCTTTCTCACTTAGGTGAACCTTGTTTTCTTAGCTAGTACGGCCCCTCTCCAAATAACCACACACTCAAATTAATGGCATGCATCTTGGAGAGCTCTATGAGATATGATCCCTTCACTGGAGCCTGGAGGCTGTGAGATTTACAAAGTGCAGTGGCAGTACCCTCTTACACCTCCATAGCGGCAATTTATCCATTCATTAAATAATGGGCTCCAAACTATCTCATTTACAGTAAAGTCCTCCTTGCATTTTCCTTTTGATTTCACACAAATAGATCTATGTCAGAGTGAGCAACGAAGATGATGATAGCTGTGATAACTGGAGGTTGCTTGTTTGTTACGTTTTGTTTTGTAAATGAATAGGAAATTGATGAACTCTACATATGAATTGATCCACTGGAGACCTGCTTCAATGTTTCCTGGGGTCACCCGGTTTGGGTGGGGCAAGAAGGTTTGGGACATTCAACTCTTCCCCTGACACTTGCTCTGTACCTTAAACTTAATTTCAGTTTCCCCAAATATTAAGATTATAATAGATAACTTTTCACTGAATGCTTACTATGTATTTTGCATGCATTAATTCATTTAATCATCACAAGTCTTTGGGGTAAGCTTTATTATTATCTATGAATATTGTTAACTTTCTTTTGGAAAAAGAGAGCTAAAACTCATGATGACTCTAAGATTGGATAGTATAGATTCTTTTAGTTTAAGATGTACCACTCATAAGAGATCATTTTATATAGGTCAGCATGACCTGCCCAGATGAAAGTTTTAATTTACTAAACTAGTTTCCTAAATAAGATAAAGCAGTTAAGCTTCTTGAGGTTTATCGCCAGTACTCTAGCTGAGCCTTAGTGTAAATAGGACATTGAGGATAAGCTGTTGGTTCAGCTTTATAGCCTTGGGGGAACTCTACTGATCAGTAGCAGTCATGCTTCTAATAGACATGAATGAAGAGGGTGAAAAAAAATTCAGGATATGGGAAGTAATTCCAGGTGAAATAGTAGCTTGGTGGGTTTCTACCTCTTTTAATACTCACTAACCCTGTAAATGAAGGTATTTCACACACAGTAAATTCATATATCCAGAATAATAAGGGATTTAGAAGAGGCTGGTACCATTATAACTGTGATATCGTGATTTGTAATAAGAAATACATATGGGTTCTTCACCACCAGTTCTGACATGAGATTCCCAAAACATTTGCAAATTCCTATATGATAAGAGTGGTAGGAGCATCTTTTGTTCTAATAAGGCGACTCTGGGTGGGCTCCTGAATGGTTCCTGGATCAGGGCAGATCATCATTTCTCTAGGAAAGAGAGAGGGGATGGAAATGGAGTTGATAAATGATCATGCCCATGTGAGGAAGCTTCCATAAGATCCAAATAGTATGGGGCTCAGGGAGCTTGCAGGTTGGTGAACACATTCATACACTGAGAAGTAATGCACCCTACTCGCAACTCCACAGGTACAGAAGCTCTGGACCCTTCCATATCTACATATCTCTTTATCTGGCTGTTCCCATCTGTATCGTTTATCACATCGTTTAATAAATTGGTAAATGTAAGTAAGTGTTCCCTTGAGTACCGTGAGCCGTTCTAGCAAATAATCGAACCCAACGGGGAGGAGATCATGAGAACCTCTGATTTGTAGCCAAGTCAGACAGAACTTGTGGGTAACCTGAGGACCTCCTACTTGCAGTTAGCATCTGAAATGGGGGCATGTCTCCTGGGACGGAGCCCTTAACCTGAGGGACCTGGTGTTATCTCCAGGTAGATAGTGTCAGAACTGAGTTAAATTGTAAGATATCCAGCTGGTGTCACAGAATTGCTTGGTGGAGGGAAAAATCCAAGTATTTCGTCCCCAAAAGTGTCATAAATGAAGTGTTCTGCGTAAAAGTAAAAGAGAAAGACACAGGAGCAGAACTAGGTTTTTCCAACACAATAATTTTTCTCTTTTTCCTAAATAAATTTGAAACAAAGGCCAGTTTTTCTTTTGTGGTTGGATAACTTGACCTCTTCTACCTCTTCCTGATATTCAGCAAGCAACAGCCTGTTTTCTTTACCCTGACAAGAAGAAGTCCTTCCTCCCTTACCTCTCCTTAATCTCCTCTTGGGTTCAGTGTGGGGATCGTTGAGCTCCAACTACTGGAACCCAGAAAAAATAGAATTAGGTTCAGCGGGTCACTGTTCTACTTTTTATAGTATGCTCAAGCAGGGGAATGTGGATCATCTAATGCCTTAAATTTTTTTCATCACTTCATATTTATTTAAGATCCTTTCCAATTCAGGATCATTTTGTTCCTTCCATAAACATAATACCTAACAGGGACGGTATTTTCACTATCCTTGTTTTACAGGTGAAGAATGGGGCTTCAGAGAGGAAGTGTGAATGGCTCATAGTCACACAGTTAATAATTATAAAGTTAGGTATTAAGATGAGGTTTCCTGTCTCCAATTCTCATGTCCTATGTACTGTATCATATCACATAGAAAAAACAAATTCAGAGTAACCAGGCAAGAAGCCATTATTCATCAAAAATGTGGAGAGGTTACACATGCCTTCAACCTGCTTGTACTATAATCCTATAGTTAAAATAATCAAAATGCCTATTTAGGAAAATAATGGTTGAGGCACGTCTCAAAGGCAAGCATATGGACACAAAATATCTGGTGTCATCCACCATAATGACTTACCCTGTAGCTGACATCTTCCAAGAGATTGGATGTGCCCACAGCAGACTCTGCCTGCCACAAAGTCTCTTTGATGCTACAACCGTAAAGGAACACATTCCTCTTTTGGGAGTGACCATGGAAATCACAGAAGACCTACAATGGCCAAACAAAGGAGAAACTAAATCTATTGATTTCTTACATGTTTAAAATGTCAACTTTCTTAGGTAGATACTGTTTACTTAGCAGAACCAGGCACATGAGGACCACTGGTGACTTTAGCAAGAGTTCTGTTGGTAGAATTATCAGGAAGGAAGGTAGATTGGAAGGTGCTTAGGGTTGAACAGAATAAAAGGAAATATGAGTCACATGTAGCTCTGCTGACAAGTTTCCTTGTGACAGGGGAGGACACAGGGCCAAAACTGGAAGAGGAAATAAGAAGTAGGCTTTGAATAGTTCTTCCTTACAGACAGACTCCAATTAATAAATAATGGAGAAACGAAGTAAATAGAAAATCACCATTAGAACACCTCTGTAATAATTGTTGCTGGCAAGATCCACTGATGGATGCCAAAATTAGTGAGAAAGATTTGTGGAGAAAAAGGATTATTTGCATAGTGTCAGAATATCTCCACCAAGATGTTAATTGCAAAAGGAAAAATACTAATTTTACAATGGAGAAACCCAGCAGACATCACCCTTAACCAAGTGATCAAGGTAAACATCACCAGTAACAGACACACTGACAAAATTCATATTGAAGAAAAGTAAAAATATGACCAATATTTTTAAAATCATCATGGTCATGAAAGACAAAGAATGTCTGAGGGACTCTCATAGAGGAGAAACTAAGAAAACATGAAATCTAAATACAATGGGAATCATGGATTAGATTCTGAAACAAATAAAAAAACATTGGTGGAAAAGCTAGTAAAATCCATATGAAGTCTGTAGTATCATTTATACTATTGCTCTAATATTATTTTTCAGCTTTGATAATTGTACCATAATTGTGCAAAACATCAGCATTAGGGGAAACTGGATGAAGTATATATGGATACTCTGTGCTATTTTTGGAACTTGTCTAAAATTGTTTCATAAAAATGAAAAAAGTATGCATCATAATATTTAGTTAAAATCCGGAATGCAAAGTTGGGTTGTTTCAACATCAAAAATAATTCAATGTGATTCACTCCATTTACAGACTAAAGAAAGAACTAATATGATAATCATAATAGATGCATAAAAACGTTTGATAAAATTCAATAGCCATAAAGGATTAAAAAATAATACACAATCTTGGGACTTCCCTGGTGGCGCAGTGGTTAAAAATCCGCCTGCCAATGCAGGGGAAATGGGTTTGATCCCTGGTCCGGGAAGATCCCGCATGTCGCGAAGCAACTAAGCCCATGCACCACAACTAATGAGCCCACGTGCCGCAACTACTGAAGCCTGCATGCCTAGAGCCCGTGCTCCACAACAAGAGAAGCCACCACAGTAAGAAGCCCGTGCACTGCAACACAAAGTAGCTCCCACTCGCCACAACTAGAGAAAGCCTGTGCGCAGCAACGAAGGCCCAATGCAGCCAAAGAAAAATAAATAAATAAATAATTTTAAAGAAACCTCCTTAAAAAAAGAACTAAAAATAAATGAAAATATTTAAAAACTAGATATATTTCATTTAAGAATTTCTTTTGATCCAAAGACACCAGGAAGAATGCGAAAAGGCAAACCAAAGAGTGAAATAACATATGTGCAGTACATATATACAACAGATGATTCATAGAGAGAATGTATACATACGTCAGTAAGAAAAAAAGCAACTCAATTTTTAAATGGGCAAAAAACTTGAATCGATATTTCACAAAAGAGAAGTTCCAAATGGCTATTAAGCAAATGAAACTGTACTCAACCTCATCAATATCAAGGAAATATAATTTAAACACCACAGTGAGATGCCCCTGCATTTAACATCATGAAAAGACAATACCAAACGTTGGCTGGGATATGGAGCAAATGAAACTCTTGAACCCAGCTTGTGGGACTATATCTATACCACTACGGTGGAAAAAATTTTGGAGTGTCTTCTAAAGCTGAATATACACATATTCCAGAACCTGCCCAACAGAAATGCATATACTGGGCACCAGAAGATATCAAGAATATACACAGCAACACTATTTTTAGTAGCCTAAATCTGTAAACAGTAGAATTGATTAATAAACTGTAGTATAATCATTCAACAGAATACTGTCCAGCATTAAGAATGAAAGAACAAGCTAGATACAAAAGAGCACATCCATATGATTTCCTTGATATGATATTCAAAAACAGGCAAAACTAATGCAGTGATAGAAATTAGGATAATGTCTATGTTTGGGGGAAGGGGGACATTACATTATGGTCTAATGTCTGGGTTGCCCGTGGTGTTCTGTCTCTCGATTTGGTTGATGGTTACATGGTGTGTTCTTTTCGTGAGAATTTATCAAGCCGTAGAGGTGTGTGATCTGTGTACTTAAAATTAATATATGATACATACACATTTGTGTGTTTCAAAGAGGTAGAAGTCCTGCTATTTCCTCACATTTGTTCCTTAGTCTGTAGAAATGTAGTCTTTGTATAGTTAGTTAAGCACACAGGGTAGGTAACTGAAGGTGTTTGTCAAATTTGCTAATGATACAGAATTGACTACAACTGACAGCAGAGTAAACAAGTAAGAGCAGAAATTATAAGGGCCAAAAAGAGCAGAATTTTGGAAATAGAAAAACTTAAATTGGAATATGCAGCTCCTACAATTAGATTCTAACAGTGGCAAAAGTAAAAGTGACATTTAGCTAAGAAGTAGGTTTTGAATGAGAGACTTGGAGGTTTTAGATGACAGTTTGCTCAGAATGACTCAGTAGTCATGGATGTCAAAATTAATCATAAATTGCTTCTGGAGAAGTAAAGTGGTCATACATAAGGAGAACAATCAGTCCAATGTACCTCATACTCGTCAATTTATATCTCATATAGTGTTTTTTGTTTTTTTTTTTTTTT